TTAAGTGACTGTGATAATGGTTGATTTTGGCATATCTTGAACCATAAAACTTCAGAGGCTTGTTCAGTACTAAGAGCTGATGTTCTCTAGGTAGGCTTATAACTTAAACCACATCATCTAGGTCACTTCTCACCCACTACACCACATTTTTCTAATAACAGAAAAAGTATAGCTTAGAAATATAAAGCAGACACACCCCAAAGAGTTTCTCATAAAAGGTAGAGGATATGTTACATTGACTTGACACACCACGGTTTGGAAGACTGTCTATCTATGGTAAAATACCCTTCTGATTTAGGGCAACTTTTGTTCCTTGAGACTTAACTGCTTAATGTTTTTTTCTTCTTTATTCTTAATTTTATAGAGGTCATTGAAAGCCTCAGTGAGTTTGAAACAAATATTATCTGATTTGAAATTTTAGGAGGGGGTTCCTGAGGAGACTGATGATTTTGGGGAGTTTCGGATGAGAGTATCAGACCTGGTGAAGGACTTGATTTTCTTGATCGGGTCTATGGAATGTTTTGCGCAGGTAAGCCTATTTGGAGGTTCTTGCCACTTTTACCGGTCACCTTAATTGTGTTTACTTCTATCTTCTGTAAATGTTCCATCTTATTGCTTCAATCTCAGTGACTAAATGGGATAATAAATATGTAGGTGTCTAGCACACTGCCTGGCATATAGCAGCTACATTTATTTAGCATCTTACAAGCGAATTGTAGTCTGGATGATTCAGTCATGATTTACTCTATTACTGTTGCTAGTGAGGCTTTTCCACCTGTGCAGCTGTAGTGGAAGATCATAGATAAGCATTAATGCCTCCAGGATACTTACAAGGAATTTGGACCTAGCCAGGAAAAATAGGCAAGTTTTTCTGCCTTAATAGTTTATATACCAAGCTTCTGGCAGTTGTTGTAGTTATGTGGCATTTCTTTTGTCCACACTTATGGCTAGATTTCTTTGCAATTTCATCCCAGAGGTGGCTATACTGGAGTAGGAGATTCATAATTCTGTGGTTTTTCTGACAGAGAGTAGTAAGACTTTACCTCATAAGGTTGTAGTGCTCATCATTCCATGTCACTTAACATCAGCATAATTTCAGGTGATTTTCATATTGCTGGATCGTTCATACTCCAGTGAGCTCTGAAATACTAGTTTGAATGCTTTGTCACAGCAATACTGAGCTAATCTGAACTTTTTGGGGGGTAAATCAGCCATTTTGTATATAATTAGGCATAATCTGATCTAGAAAATGTTAATAAAATTATAACCTTTTCATTGTA